CTGACCCCGTGTCTTGCGTTTTTTTTCTTTTTCTGCAGCACCAAGCAGAGCAGAGAAAGGGGGGATTTTGACTAGAAATAATTTGAAACAGTTTCATAAAGAATGTTGAACTATATTTAAAACTGTAATTGAACTTCAACTTATATCAATTTTCTCATTCCAGTGGCCAGTTGGAACAGATAATCAAAAAGTTTTCATTTTGCAGCAACAGTGCAAAAGGGTTCAATCACCATTATGTCTGAGTCTTGTTCTGTCTTATCTGCTTTGTTTCGGAATGTGTTCAATACATTACGTTTTATTTTTATTTTCCTTATTACCATACAATACATAGATTAAGAATAAATGAAACAAATAATACAACATTGACCTATTTGAGCAGACAGATTTTTTATTTATTTATTTTTTAACCCTGATTTCCTCAGGCTTGGTATTTATGACCCGCAGTGATGCCTCTGAGGTTCCCGGGTGTAAGACAGACGCAGGACATAAAAACACTCTTTTGCTATTTATTTTCCTTTTGCAGAAATGTATATTACAATGTATAATTTTGCTTTACATCCCTACATCATCCATTTTTCTCAAGTCATTTACTTTTGGTGAGATAACTAAAGTTTAGTTCATTTTACCTTGGCTGTGGACTGATTCATTATTAGTTGTTACAAAGCATGCACAAGACGGCGGGTAGACAAACAAACACAAAACAATTATACAAACAAACATGAACCCGCAACAAATATCAGGTGACAGCTAAACTCATCCAGCTTAATTTAATCCGAATAAAAAGACTTCAGCGGGGGTTGGGAAATATATTTAATATGAGTACCTTCTTACTCATATATACTTGTACAAGTGCTAAGAACGGAATCTGTTGAAGAGCAATAACTACTTTATTCTCAATCAACAACCACTATGCTAATTTATGGTTTGTCCCCTCCGTCCTGAGAACAAAGGCTGTCTGTATCCAGCCGAATTTAGCAACCCATCAATTTCTTACAACGATGAAAAATAATAATAAAAATATATAGCGCTATGTCACATTCTCGCGTACCGCCCTTCCTATTTATGCCGATTTGTTTAGTTCCAAGACGACGATGGTGCGAGGAAGAGAATGTTATAACACTGTGCTTATAAACCTATAATTTTCCTCTCCTGCTGGTCTCCGCAGGGGGGTTAGGGAAGCTACACACACACTCTCCCCCGAGCAGCAGACAGGAGTTGATTAAAACAGTTTTGACCGCTGAAGTCTCCAGAATTCGGCGATTTGTTTCAATACAAATCTATCACATTGAATAATTGCTGTGTGTGATTGTCTGGTGATTTAATTTCCACAAAAAAAACACACACAGAGGAAAGTAGAGACACCAAAAAATGCAGCCGCTCAGCTTCACAGGTAATTTTATGATACCGTCAAAACAACACTTACCAGTTTCTGAAGATGCTGTTGGTAACTGTTCGCGACGCCAATTGTGAAGTAAAAACTTATTTGCTGCACTTGTTGATGCCAATCATGAAATGAGGGAAACTGGATTCGCCTTAGTCAATACACTGATATTTATTGAGGATTCGTACGGCCGGAGAGATCACAGTATATCACAATTCTCATGTAAGATACCAGCAAACTCTAAACACAAAAGACAGAAACATCTCTATATATATTTTAAAGGAGGGGTCTAAACAGCCCGCCCTTTCCCCTAATCATTACCAGACACCAAGGACAAAGACTGCATATATTGCCCCTCCTTAAGTGCCCCAAACCCCTCACCCACACAGTAAGTCAAAGGACCTCTTGATCTGTCCTCCTGAGTATTACGCGCAGGATCATATTTCAGTGAGGAGGAAAACACTTTAACCAGAAACAGATTCCCGAGGACAAGTCACTAAACTCTATATACTTTAACAAGACTAAAATATTCCTTTACAATATGGACAACATTCGTTCATGTTTTGCATGAAAATCCTCTACAAACTCATTATAGGATTTATTTACATCTTGAATCTCAAATACTTCTTCTATTATTCATTTTTTAAGTTTATATTTAATTTATTTGGAGAACTGTCATTTAATTTCCGCTTAGTTATGTATGTCTTTTGTTCTTTGTTATTTACAGGTTATTTTCCGCAAATTGTGAATATTGGCAGGTGACATCAGTAATGAGGGCCCCACTATGATGAGGGCCCCACTATGATGTTCTGTTTCAAGGACGTTAGTGAACATTTTATCAATTATGGTTTCAGTAGTGCTAGTTAACCTGGTTGGTTTGGATATAAGAGGGAGAAGCCCACATGAAAAAGGTTATATTTCATATGCTTAATTCATTTCAAGCTGGTTTTGTTTTAAAAAAGAAACCTTGAAGGCCAGAAGAGTTTAGTCAGTATTTAAGTGGTTATGTAATTCAAAGGTATTGCATTTGAATTTTGATGTAAAACGGGTGGGAGATAAACTCTCTCTGGAGGAAACTTTGGGATTTCAGCCTTTGTAGACAATTTACATGCACAAAAACATACCACACTACAGGATAGGGAAAACCCCAAAAAGCATAATATGGCATCTTTAAAACAGTAGTACTGATGGTCTCTCCTGAAAGCAGCCAGTAAGTGAATAAGAAGACTAAATGGGGATCTTCATTCCCTAGACAAGATGTCAAACTGGTCTGAATTTAAATTAGTTTCACTTAAACCATTTTGAAGCTTACAAGTCTCAAAGGAGTTACCTTTACACAGCTTGAATTGTAAATCAATCCTGAAAAGAAACCCATCAAAGTTTTCCCTTTAACTTAAAAGATGACTTTAAAATGTTTTGAAGAATTCAGCTTGAAGTCCAATGACCCTGAAACACATTTCATGCTGTTTCAAACATTGAATCTCTTATAAGCATAAAAGCATAATGACAGACGTATATAAATTAATAATTGGAGTATTTTTATTGTAGATTTACAACTTTCATATGGGAAATGGAATATATATTTTACCGGAGAATACTTACCTCCTTCCACGGGCCTTTTGTTTCCCAATACCATTTTAAAGATTGCTCCTCGGGCTTCTTATGATTCATAATATGTTTGCTGAAAAGTTAGTATCCTGTCACATTGAGACAATATCAATTACATATTTATATTTCAATGATAAGAAAGGAATGTCAAAATGTAATATGTAATGTAAAGCGATTTGAGCACTTGGAAATAATAAATGCCATGAATTATTATTATTATTAGGGCCCGAGCACGGAGCGCTAGGACCCGACGGGCCGGCGTCCTAGCACGAAGTGCGAAGAACCTATTGTTATTGGAGGAATTCTTCTTATTATTTTTAGTCGCCATCTTTCCTGTTTTTGAGGCCTTTAGGATGCTTCAAATATTGTATAATTTTGCACGGACGCCAGGACCGGTAAAAATTGCAACATTCTGGAGTCAATGGGTTAAAATATTCCAACGTGCTCGCTAGCGCCACCTATCAAAATCCCATTTCGGAATACATTTACAAAGTCGCACCGTAACTCGGAATGACCTGAAATGTTGCACACATATCCGGGTGGACCTGCTCTACAAATAATCCTCTAGCTCGTAGGCTAACGGAGAATGTAACATTTTTGACCAATTATATGTCAGATAAGCTACTGACACCTGCCTGTCTGCCTGGCACATCAACTCTCACACACACACACAAACAGACACACACACTCACCTACTGTTAGTCCAACAACGCCCTTTGCTGGCGGCATATTCATTACAACAGACACCTATACACTCCCTAACCCTAACCCTACTGTCTATTTGTAGATATCTCCTAAAGCCTACAAATAAAGTGTGAAATGTAGGCCTGTTACATTTATTATTGAGCGATATATATTATACACACTGTTCTGCTTTCTGCACTGACCTCAGCAGCTGTTCTCACTGTAAACATCGCCTCACAATGAAAGCAGGGGCCTATACTACGAAGCTGGTTCAACCTAACCTGGATATGTTTGAGTTAGCTGGTTGGCCTAATCCAAAACATACGTGCTCTCGCTAAACTGTACTACGACGCTGGTTATCAAGTGGATCGCTCAAGCCAGCCGTTTCCTATCTAGTTAGGTGCGCGTTCACATAAAAGGGGTGGTATCTGGAGCATTCGACCAATCACAAACATGGAGAAGCGTACTGACAGCGCAGCGTCATACTTCCTGAATGAAAAGTGAACTTTAATACTAGTCAAAAATGAAGAAGTTAAACTTTAAACATCCATGACTTAAACACTTTATCCAGGATAAAAGTCACATAGCTGCACCTGCAAGGTGAATACAGCTGGCAAAAGAAAAAGTGTTTGAATGCGTACATTAACAGGTTTATGATATCACTGCCCCGTCTAAAACACGATTTGACTTTAATTACATTTGTCTCTAGTGTTTCGTCAACTTAACCCTTAAAGGCCGAGCGAGCCGCCCGCGGCTTCAAAGAGGTAGCGTTCTAAAATGCTTAATAACTTTTTAACCGCTAATTCTATCCATCTGATTTAAAAAGTGAGGTAAAGCGGCTATTCTAGGCTTTTTGCTGGTATCACTATGTCCTTTTCCGGGATTTAGAGGCTCCGACGTGATCGGGGCAAAGTTATCACATTTTACAGCCTTGATTCGTCAAGGAGACCCACGCGGCCCCTCTGTCTGAGCCAAACAGCCAAGGTTTTAGACTAAGTCCCACCCCCCTGTGTCCGGATAGGTTTAAAATGTAAAGGTCCAGGCAAACCTCTGCCCATGCTACCATCTTCTCGACCAATCAACATAGGTTGCTGTGTATGTTTTTGGCGGCGGGAGATAAACAAAGAGAAACAGAGAGACGAGAGAGTAATACTAAAGAAGAGTAATTCTGCCAGCGTAAGAGAAATACATACAACACGAGATATCTAGATACAGACACACACACACACACACACACACACACACACACACACACACACACACACACCACACACACAACACACACACACACACACACACACACACACACACACACACACACACACACACACACACACACACACACACACACACACACACACACACACACACACACACACACACACACACACACACACACACACACACACACACACACACACACACACACACACACATATCCCAAGACAAATTCAAACCAACATGTCAAAACGGCGTTACACTACGGAAGAAACCGTAGAATTTATTTTGTCTGGCGGACCGCTTAGCGATGCAGCGGTGGATTCCTCAGATTCTGAAGCTGACAACTGGCAAGGAAGAGGAGTATGATCACGGGATTGATCCCTTCGAAGATAAAAAAGTGAGTAACTTTGCTTATTTCTTATTGTTTGTGTTGCATTTATCGGTTGTTGTTGCTGTATAACGCCGAAAATAATTAGTCCTAAGAGTTTTTATAATGGATGGCCATTTGCCGTAATTGTGTCATAAAGTGAAGTCCTGAGCTCAAGATTCACTATCAATAGAGGCTACTATTTATTTCAGTAAAAAAACGTCAAGCAATACCTTTCATTTATTGCCTCATTCCGCTTGCCCTCTTTGGTTGTTTGTTATGAGGTCTAATGTTATTATAGTCATGCATTACAATTCAGTTACTGATTCCATCAACTAGTAATGTTAGCAGAGGGATAAAGTGTGAATCAAATCAAAAGTTGAGACTGTGTTTAGAAAATAGATAGGATGACACTGGAGAAATAAAAGCAATAAAGGAAATAAAATAAATTCAGACATTTTTATCTGTATATTTTCCTCCCTTTTATTTTAGTACAGAGGATGAGAGAGAGGATGCACAAGCCCCTGTCCCCATCAGTAGGCCTCCTTCAAACCGAGAGGGAAAAGAATGTGGCCAGGAGGGTGCAGCATCCAGAAAAAAGGCCAAACCAATGACAGCCCCCCTGACAGTGAAAGGGAGAGGAAGAGGAAAAGGGAAAAAAACATCTCTGACCCCAGAAGAGCCAGGAGCTGTTTGGAACGGACCTGAGGTGCCAGATACTGCCCAACAACTACCACACTTTTGCCCGAAAAGAGCCCCTGGAGTCCAAGGTTTTGTTGGTGTGGAGTATACTCCTGCACAAATATTTAGAAATTGTTTTAACAACCAAGCTGTAAATATCATCTGCAAGAACACAAACAAAAATGCTGAAAAGGAGCAGGCTAAGGGGGAAAAGTTTGTTTGGGAAAGCCGGTAAAATTCCTCATGTATGTCGGCCTTATGATGTTCATGGCACTTCTAAAACTGCTCAAAGTAAGAGACTACTGGAGGAAGGGATCACACCTGAGTGTTCTCTTTCCTGCTTCTGTCATGACAAGAGACAGGTTCATGGCAATCAGCAGAGCTGTACACCTGAGCGACCCAGACCATGATGAATGTGGATACATTTCCTTTGCTCTTTATATATTTTTCTAATATTTTGGTTATAGTTTGAAGATCATTTGCTCTTTGTACTTTTGCACTTTCTATATATTCCTAATACTTTGTTTATAGTTTTAATATAATTTGCACTTTGTTAATTTGCACTTTGAATTTGTTTCACTGTTTGTGTTTGTATTTCAATGTTCAAATGATAATATATATCTCTGAAACAAGTTATTTTTGTTGCAATGTCATCTGTTATGGTTTAATTGTTTACTCTCTCAACCTTTTTTTGACAGAAGAAACATGATCAGTCATTTAAATATGGAAATACATTTCGTTTTAATTATTCCATATGATAATATTGTAATAAATAGCTGTAACTTGCTCAGGGAACATAATATGCAGATGAAATTTAATTTGAAAGCCTAAAACATCTAAATGCAGCTTTGTAAATAATAAAAAAGAAAATCCCTATGTTCCTGGCGGAGTAAACAGTAAAAAAACACAACATTTGTACTGGCGTTTTTGAAAAGTGCTGGTAAATTCAGCCATTATCACACAAAGTTATGGTAAAATTTGGACTTCAAATTAGCCAGACTTGAACTAGAGGTTCTCCTGAATCAAATGAGGTAAGGCACTTGATGCTGACTGCAAGAAAAGGTTAGAACAGGTTAGGAGAAACAAATAAATACAGGAGAGTCAGGCAGGCGAAAATTCCGTCTAGGTCTTTAAGGGTTAATGTGTTGCTTAAAATAATACTTCTGCATACAGTATGTGACACTGTGAGTGTTGCACGGCCAGATACGGCTCAGCTGACTCAGAAAAGAAAATATATGATACATTATGAAGTGATATGCCGCGGACTGTAGCCTACTTAATGTTACTCTGATCCGGTTACTTATGTTGTGGCAGATATTTAAGTAAGCTTTCCTAACGCTAATGTTATAATAGTCAGATTGCTCTGAAGATGGGAGGTGATATTCTATTAATGTTCACGTTCACACAGTCGGTGATTTTTGCCGGCTGTCTTTCCTGCGACGGCAGCTTTTCTGTATTTCCTTTCTCCTATAATATGACTTGATCGCTTTAAACTCCGCACACTGAGCTCTGATTGGTCAGCAGGCAGTGCTTTCACTGAGTTGAGCTCTTAGCCTGCAACCTAACCTGGTCCCGACCAGGTTAGCCGCTAAGCATAAGTTACCATGGAGATCTAGCCTGCTAAAAAGAGAACCAGCTTCGTAGGACCGGAAAGCCGGAGTTTTCCCTGAATTTAGCCGGCTAAACGAAAATCCTGCTTCGTAGTATACCCCCCAGATGTATTAAAAAAAAAATAGCCTAACATCCAGGGGAGATGTGATTAGTGAGTAAACAAACGGTAAAGGGCAGAAAGTCTGATGCACATTTGATCATCTCAAATAACTTATAATCACAACGGGAACAGTTTGCAGAGCTGTGCTTCGTTGACATCGTAGCCATGCGTCACACCTCTTTTAAAGGAAGGCTCCAGTCATTAGATTTTTTTTTTAAAACTTCAGTATTTAGTGAAACATTATGTTTAAACCATACCCTGAAGAAATCAGCGATATTCCCCGGTAAATAATGATTTTATAGCTCTTTTTGATCAAAACCAGTATATTCCGTCAGGCAGCTGCCATTTTGGCCATTTTCAGTAGTCACATGATCCGAAAAACTAGGTCGTGACGTCATCTATCCGTTCACTTTGTAAACACACAACGAAAACATGGCGGAGTATTTGAGTTCGGACTCGTCAGCCGAGGAAGAAGTTTAGAAAAATAAAGTCCAGGTGAACTTACTTTTAATTATCACTATAGGTATTAATTCCATCCAAATACAACTGTAAAAAAAATAAAAACCATACTCTGTTATCCTCTTAGGCCCCACGGACCCGGTTCCAGGGCCCAAATCGCGTCATTTGCAGGAAACAACGTCTAAGGCACCTTAATATTTAATAAACTATGAATATTTTATATCCATATAATGGGAAAAAAACTAATTTAACTGATCTTTTTTCATTTTTTTCTTCAAAAAACACACACAATGCTAACAGTGAGCCTCTGAATTAGCCCCGAGCGAAAAATGCTAACCTATTACTGCACCGAAAATCACTCCTAGCTCCATAGGCGGCGCGTGAGGCTCAGGTTTGGGAAGGCTAAATAACTTTTTTTTACCTGACGCTGCCCGCCTCCGGCGTCTATAGATAAGAGATCAACTCAGTGTGCGGAGTTTAAATCTCTCAAGTCATATTACAGGATTTAAGGAAATACAGTTTAAACTGCCGTATGCAGAGAAGACGCCGACATGTCGCACTTATCATTCATATTACATCATCAATCAGATCATCGATCATATAATATCATAATATATCATATTTCCTTATCTGAGTCAGCTTCTCCAGCCGTATCTGGCCTTGCAACACTTACAGTGTCACATACTGTATGCAGAAGTATTATTTTAAGCAACACATTATGTTGACGAAACACTCGAGTCAAATGTAATTAAAGTCAGATCCACTCGTGTCTTAGATGGGGCAGTGATATCATAAAACTATACGCTTTCAAACACTCGGTAGGCCTAGTTATTTTTTAACCAGTTGTTCTGTATTCACCTTGCAGGCTCTGTGGCTTGTATCCTGGATTATATGTTTAAGTCATGGATGTTTAAAACTCATATTTGTCTAATATTAGTTTACTTTTCATTAATGAAGTATGACGCTGCGCTGTCAGTACACTTGTCCCTGTTTGTGATTGGTCAAATGTAGCTAACCCCCGCCCCTTTCACGTGAACGCGCTCTCAGCTGGTGAGAGAAACCCTGGCTTGATTTACCGAGTTGATAACCAGCGTCGTAGGATCTCGTTTGTTAGTTTGTTGTTGTTAGTTTGTTTGTTTGTTACTCAAACATATCCAGGGTATGTTGAACTGGCTTCGTAGTACAGGGCACAGGTGGCTAGCAGCGCTAATGTCAAAGACACAGACATTATACAGTAGCCTACATTATATTTGTATTTTACCAGGATGCAGTGACACAAATATTTGGGAAGGCTTAGCCTTCCCTAGCCTACAGCACCCGCAGCCCCTGCCTAGCTCCCTTATTACTTATCCTAGCTGCACATCCAACACATCGTTTATGATCGTAAAGACACAGAATCTAACGGTGCCCACCTCAACACTGAAAGATACAAACTCGCAACGTTATCAACAAAAACGTACATCAAAACAAGTGGCGCTAGGTACTAACATGCGCTAGGCTAACATGGCTTACCTTGGTCTTTGTCTGGTCTAAACTGGTCTTCAATGGCATTAAAACGATAAAAATGATGATGTAGTTAATCCATAGGTTAATATCCAATGTGACTGTGTCCCCTTTGAAATGTTCTGATAATCTATAAGCAATACAACTGCAATTCCGTTATCTGCTGTCCGCTCTGTGCTCCGTGCGCTCTGGGTCCTGCAATTCCTGCTTCCTTACATAGTAAACAATAAGTAAAGTCTGCTGCGTAATGTGCTTACGCTGGCTGGCATTGGCAGTGCACTGCATCCCCATTAAGTAATGGTTGATTAATAAATCCCATTTTATGTTTCATCATACTCTCAGAGTAGTCGTCCGGAAACTTGAAATGTTCGCTGCATACATGCGCCTGTGAATCTTTCGGTTCGGGCCGAGCACATTTCGCTAGCCACTGCCTCCGAACGTACTTCCTACGCTTACCCGTTGGCAATAGATGGAACCGAGCATTCCGTGGATTGTTCCTATCCGAATTGTGGCAATGTTTCGCGATACAATGAGGCATATTTCAATAGAATTGTGAGAGTAACTAGAGTAAACAACATGAACAAAGCACATACGTCAATTTGTCCTCGACACCAAACGCATAGTTCACGTCACTTCCGGTAAAATAAGTCATGTGACTCGTCGAAATGGCACCGCCCACAGTGTTGATGTTATTTCGGTAATTAATCAGCTTAAAATCACTGATAACCTCATCGGATTAAAACCAAAAAAAAGAAGACTGGCAGAGACTGGTCTGGTTTATCGGATGATGATTATTTAAAAGTGCGTGTCATGAGCATTGCCTCCCTTTAAACATCACTGTTGAACTATTCATATTTTACGGCCCGTCTACACTACAGGCGTCAAAAAATGCTTTCAACGCTTCGCCCATTCATTTGAATGGGGTGACGTAGGATATTTTCAAACTTCGCCGAACTGCATTGTGGGTAGCATGGCAAGGCGTTGCAAGCATCGCGAGCGTCTATCGGCGTCAAAAGTTGAACAATGTTCAACTTTTGAGGCTCGATGCTTGCTCGAAGCTGGCGTCAGCCAATCAAATCCCGTTTTTGCAATTCCCGCCAGTACAAGCGCTAGCCAATCAAACCGCGTGCAAGCTGGGAGAGCCAGACCGCAGTTCATTCCTCATATTCCAAACGAGAAATTACGGTAGCAAATCACCCGGTTCTTTCCGACCAGAACTATTTACCGGGATACAAACCGGAGGAACCAGGCATGGAGGGAGGTGGCAGAGACAGTGGGTGAAACTGGTAGGTTTTCGCCTGTTTGGGGATTTTATATCCAGTTTACTTCGTTTTAACATTGCTATTGCTTTGTATGTCGGGGGCGGGAGATTCATGTGATTGGTTGTTGGTCGCGTTGCTCGCAAAAAATCGCCAAGCTTCAGACACGCCCAGCTTCAAGATTTGTTGATGCCTGTAGTGTAGATGGGCCGTTAGACTGCACTGTAACTTTTATCCATGTATTTTTTTCTTTTAATGTTTATTTTATTAGCTTTTCTTTTTAATGACT